CAAGATAGTCTCATTTGAGATCTTACCCACCCATGACAGATCAGCATACCAAAACTTGCTATGGAGACACACATATGTAGAATAATCAAATGGACCCAAAGATGTGGACAGCATCTTGCAACTGAATCCCAACAAAATCATTAAGAGATGTGCAGGTGGAAAAGAGAGAAACAAATCAGTATAAGAAGTACTTCACTTCTCATACATCTTTATTAACACATCACTCAAATGGACCTTCATAAGAACACAAGAAATAGTAGGAGTAGATGATATGCCCTTCATATGCTCCACCAATCAATACGATCAAAGCTGACATGCTGCCCCAAATCTACCTGACAGACCAAAGGTGTGTTCATTTCAGCCTTGATTGTACTCAACAATAGTGCATCTTCTACCTTGTGGGGTAGAAAATTTCAAAGATTCATCACCCTAAGAATGAAAAAAATTCTCCGTATTTCAGTTCTAATTAATCAATCCTTACACTGAGAACTGCCTCAGTGTTCTAAATTCTCCTGCATATCATTCATGTTTCAATGAGATCACCTCTCTTCCTTTTAAACTCCAGAAAGTAGTGGCATAATTTACTCAGCTATGCACCATCATGGTCAGTTCGTCAATCTTGCCCACAGCCCTTGTTCTCACCCAAACAAGTAGCAGTAACTCAAACTTGTTGAACAAAAACAAAGTTGAAAGTCCTCCATCACTACATACTTCACCAAACCTTCTCCCTCATAGTAAAATTCTCTCGGCCCTGACAAGCAACCATTTTGAACATTCTACTTAACTCCAAAGACGTGATTGCCTTTTGGCACAACATGTTCAGCTAATTTTCCCACTCCCTGATGCTCCACAATGTTGATAGCTGAAACTCTAATCTAACAACTCTGAAAAGAATTACTTCGAGCTATAGACACTTAGCACGAATGTTGCTATCCAGCACTACACCGGTGTCCAGAAACTCACACTTTATCGCAGCAATGCCACTTCATTTGTTCTGCCATCTCTATCTAAAATCATAGAAGTCAATAGCATAGAAAAAGGCCCTTCAGCCAACAGAGTCTGCACCTGTCCAGAAACAAGTGGCTAACTATTCTAAGATAGTAGGAGCTACCAATGCTGGAGAATCTGAGATTACAAGGTGTAGAGCTGGATGAACACAGCCGGCCAAGCAGCATCAGAGGAGCAGGAAAGCTGACCTTGCTAACTATTCTAATCCTATTTTCCAGTATTTGGTCTTGTATGTCTTGGTATCACAAGTATACATCTAAATATTTCTTCAATGTTATGAGGATTTCTGCCTCTACCATTCTTATATGCAGTAAGTTCCAAGTTCCCATCACCCTCTTGGTGAAATTTTTTTTCCTTACATCCCCTCTAACCTTCCAGCCACTTATCAAATCTATGCCACCTGAGCACCGATCCCTTCACCAAGAGGAAAACTTCCTTCCTGTCTACCCTATCTATGCTCGTTATCATTTTATTCATACTAATCATGCTTCCCCCGTCAGTCTCCTCTCCTTCAAGGAAACAACCCCGGTCTATCCATTCTCTCTTTTCTCTTCATAACTAAAACTCTTCAGTCAACATCCTGGTAAATCTTCTCTGCATCCTCTCCAGTGTGATCACATCCCTCCTATAATGTGGATTCCAGAATTGCGCAAAATACTCCAGCTGTGATCTAACCAACACTTTATACAGTTCCAACTTCACCTCCTGCTCTTAAACTCTAAGCCTCAGCTAAGAAAGGCAATTATCTCATGTCTTCTTAACCACTTTATCTAGCAGTCTCACACCTTACGAGACAGAGGACATGCACGCCAAGGTCCCTTTTTCAGTGCTTCCCAGGATCCTATTGTTCATTATATATCATTAAGGTTCTTGCGAAGATTTGTAGCTCGAGTTGTGGATGAGGTTGTTGGCTTGCTCGCCGAGCTGGCTGGTTATTGTACAGACGTTTTGTCATCATGCTAGCTAACATCATCTGTGCGGCCTCCAAAGAAGCGATGTTGTTCCACTCTGCTTGGAATTTATATGATCTAGTCCATTAAGTTGGGTTGTGTCATTTCCGGTTCACACACGGGAATTCCTAGAGGCCTGGTTTTCAACCCGTAATGCAATCAACAAACATGTGGAATTAGACCCCATACACAAACCCCTGCAAAACAGAACCAGAAATGACATATGTATGATGGCTACTCATCATATATCCCCTTGTTTTATTTGTCTTGTCCAAGTGCATCACCTTATACTTGGATTGAATTCCATTTGTCACTGATCAGCCCATCTATATCCTCCTGTGATCTGAAGCTATCCCCTCAATACTTACCAATCCACCAATTTCTATATCATTTATGAACTCACCAATCAACCTTTCTACATCTCACGGAGATTTATCTACTTTAAAGCCTGCCAGACCACTCAGGACCTCCTCTCCGTCTATGTTAATTTCTTTAATTGTATCGCAGTCCTTCTCCCTTTTTTCTATACCAACATCGTCCCTCTCACTAGTGAACACTGACACAAAGTATTTATTTCAAACCCTAAATACATGCTGCGGCTCTACGCACAAAGTACCAATATCTCCTTAATGGGCCCTACTCTTTCCCCAGTTATCCTTTTACAATCATACAATCCCTACAGTGTGGAAACAGGACCTTTGGCCCAACAAGTCCACACTGACCCACAGAGCATCCCACCCAGACCTATCCCCCTATAACCCATCTAATCTATACATCCCTGAACATTACAGGCAATTTCGCATGGCCAATCCACCTAGCCTGCACATCTTTGGACTGTGGGAGGAAACCGGAGCACCCGGAGGAAACCCAAGCAGGCACAGGGAGAACGTGCAAACTCCACACAGGCAGTCACCCGAGGGTAGAATTGTGTCTGGTGCTGTGAGGCAGCAGTGCTAACCACTGAGCCACTGTACCGCCCTAATGTACCTTTAATGTACTTGTAAAATCTTAGTATTTTCTTTTATTTTGTCTGCTATTATTCTTTCATGCCCCATTTTTGCTCTTTTAATTTCTTTTTTAAGATCCCCTTGCCCATTCCATTTTCATCAAGAGTTTCTACTGATTTCAGCTCTCAGGCCATAAGCCTCTCATTTTCTCTTACCCAATCCTGTATATTCCTCAATATCCAGGATTTGCTGGATTTATTGGTCCCACCTTTATCTTTATTGGAACATCTAATCTCCCTATTTCCTTCTTGAATGTATCCTACTACTCTGACACAGATTTACCTCAAAGTAGCTGCTGCAAGTCCACTGGCGAAATCATATCTAATCTGAATAAAATTGGCTTTCTCCCAGTTTAGAACTTTGTTTCAGGCTCACCCTTGTCCTTTTCCATGACAATCTTGAATCTGAGTTATGGTCACTGTCTGCAAAATGCTCCCACACAGATACTTTATCCTGTTTTCTTATTTAATTAGATAAAAGTATTGCTGACCACATTATTTTAGTCTTAGAGATAAATTGGTTGACTTTCATAACTCATTGCATTCCAGCAGGGTTTCAGTGGACTAGAAAACTGCTAATGTGACATCCCTATTCAAGTTAGCAGCTGATGCAGCACATAACTAAGGAGGCAAATAAAATTTTGTCCTTTATTGCTAGGGGGTTATGGTTTAAAAACTTGGAAATCTTGTTACAACTGTACATTGTGTTTGTGATGCCATACCTGGAGTACTACCTACAGTTTTAGTCCCCCATTTAAAAAGGATAGAATGACGCTGGAGACTGTTCAAAAGAGATTCACTAGACAGATTCCCAGGATGAAGGGTAGGCTTATCAAGAACGGTTAAATAGGTTAGATCTTTATTCAGAGTTTAGAAGAATGAAGGGTGATTTTATTGAAACATACAAGATCTGAGTTTCCGTAAGTGGTAGAATCTCGAACTAGAAGGCATTGATACAGAATAAGGAGACACTCATTTGAAACTGAGAGACAAAGGAATTTCTTCTCCCAGAAGGTAGTGAGTGTCTGCAATTCTCTACCCAAAAGAGTTGTAGAGGCTATATCGCTGAAAACATTTAAAAAGCAGGTAAATAGATTATTGAAATATCAAGGAGTTGATGGTTATGCATAGCTGGCATGAGAGGAGTTGAGGTCTGCTGCAGATCAACAATGCTTTTGCTGAATGGCGAGGCAGAGACTTGAAGGGTCAAATTGCCTACTCCTCCTATTTCTAGTGTTCTTTTCTGAGAAAATGGATGACACCAGTTCCCAATATGAAAGTCAGATCTGTTACCTGGCACCACAGCTCACTGTTTGCTTCGCTAGGCCTCATCCAGCTCAACTGTCACCACCATTTCCCTGCATGCTCATGGGCACTGTCCTCTTCCACTCTTCCTCCATATAAGCTGGCACTGCCAAACCACCATCCTCACCATATCATCATGGCTGCTTTCAGAACAACTCACATGCCATTAAAGTTCTTCAGAACCTCACTTTGGAGGTCAGGTTACTTATGCCTTGCATGCTTCTGCCAGGTCACTTTACACACAAGGTAACATGTGCATTTCACACATCTCCATAGGATGCCTATTAGCTTTTTTTTTAATGCTCACTTACTGACTATGAGGCTGCCAGCTTCACATCAACAAATGAGGAGACATAATGGCTGCTACTGCATGCAGAGTGATGAGCATAAGTTACTGTTCTTCTCCTGGGGCAATTATAATAATCATACATACTCTGATTCTGCAATGTCCCACATCTGCTTCAAATTGGATTCTACTGAAAGGTAATCTTTTGGCAAACATGAACATAACAGATTAGAGTCTCAAGCAATCATAAAAGCTATGCACATTGCATCAATTAATCCCTGTAGTGTTAGATATGCAGTTTCTTCATTGCTTTCCATTTATGACACTGGAACACAACACTTCATAGCTACATTCCGCACCTACCAGTAACTATACAATGACATGTTCTGTAATGTTCAATGTAGTTCTTTGTTGGAGAAGGTGATATCACAGAGTGAAGACATACCTGCATTTAACTCACTCAATGAACTTTGACTCTGCAAAATACATCCGCATAAGGTTACATAGCTCAGAGATCCTTATTTGGGCATAACTTCGGCCTCCTTGCAAAAGTGAAGCCTTCACCTCAGTTTGTGAGGTCATAACATGCTGTTTCATTTTGATTGACGTGGGGGATCAGGAGTACTGTTACTTGTACAAACACAAAGAGCTGGAGAAGCTCAGCAGATCTGGCAACATCTGTGGAGAGAGAAACAGAGTCAATGTTTCAAGTGTGGTATCATTCTTCAGGAAAAGCAATATACCATTACCGGTAATGTTCCTCTATTTCCAATATTCCCTGCAGATTATTTGATCACTCACCTGAGATGGGACCAGCATTTGGAGGATTCTTCGTTGCACTTTTCTTGCATGGAGCTTATTCCTCTCTCTCTCTCTGACTAACTCATTAAAACAGACTGACACTTTTGGTGACCTACTGAAATCCTCCAGCTTTTCCTAAACAGAATTGAATTAAGCAATTATTTGAAATTGAATGTAACAACTACCAAGTTTTTGAGAAGATGTGTAGCCTGGGTTGTGGATGAGGTTGTAGACTTGCTCACCGAGCTGGTGTATTTGGCTGCAGACGTTATGTCACCATGCTAGGTAATGTTTCATCAGTGCACCTCCAGTGAAGCATTAGTGTTCTGTCTCACTTGCTATTTATATGCCTTGCTTTGCTGGAGTAGTTGCATTAGTTCCAGTTCTGTTTTTCAGTTGTTTGTATATCAGGTCCACTTCAATGTGTTTGTTGATGGAGCTCCGGTTGGAATGCCAGGCCTCCAGGAATTCCCGGGCATGTCTTTGTTTGGCTTGTGCTATTATGGATGTGTTGCCCCAGTCGAATTCGTGTCCTTCTTTTTCCATGTATATTGAGACCAGTGAGAAATGGTTGTCCCTCTTGGTGGCTAGTTGGCATTCATGTATCCTTATTGTCAGTTTTCTTCCAGTTTGGCCTTTGTAAGGTTTCTCACAGTCCTTGCATGGTATTTTATGTATTACGTCAGTTTTATTGGTTGTGGGAATGGGATCCTTTATGTTCGTTAGTAGCTGTCACAGGGTGGTTGTTGGTTTGTGGGCTACCCTGATACCTAGGAGTCTGAGTAGTCTTGTGGTCATCTCTGATATGTCTCTGATGTATGGTAGGGTGACTAGTGTGTCTGGCCATGTTGTGTCTTCTTTTTGTAGTCTGTCGCAGAGGTAATGGCGGATTGTGCTTTTTGGGTATCCATTCCTTTTAAAAACTCTGTATAAGTGCTCCTGTTCTGCTTTGCATAATTCCGAGTTGCTGCAGTGTGTTGTGGCCCATTTCAATAATGTCCTGATGCAGTTCCATTTATCGGGGTTGGGATGGTTGCTGCAGTAATTAAGTATATGGTCCATAAGTGTGGTCTTTCTGTATACGCTAGTCTGGAGTTCCCTGTTGTTCTTACATTCCACCATTATGTCTAGGAAGGGTAGTCGGTTATTGTTTTCTTCTTTTGTGTCAGTGGGTTCTTCCAGTCTTATAGGTTTGATAATCATGAAGGTTTCATTTACGTAGCAGATCCAGAGTTTGGGCTGTATAGTGGGGAGCGCTGTTTGTTCTAATCTTTGCATTACCGCTTCTGCAATCAGTCCTGACATTGGGGATCCCATTGGTGTTCCGTTGATTTGTTTGACTTTATGGTCATTGAAGGTGAAGTGGGTTGTGAGGCACAGATCCAGCAGTTTTAGGGTGCTGTCCTTGTTGATGCTGTTGGTGTTGTGGGGTGCCTGTCTTCTTGGCTCGTCCAGCAGAGTGACAATTGTCTCTTTGGCTAGATCGATGTCTATGGATGTAAATAGTGTTGTTATGTCGAAAGATGTCATTGTAATTATTACCAACTACCAGCACTACCTTGTTCCATACATGTTACAATATTCACAGATTGATGGATTACATACTACAAATTGAAACAAAAGAATGTATTTCATCATACATCACAAAATAATGTACGATTTGGCGTCAGGAAAAATCACATAGGGAAAGTAGAAATCCCATGATGTAATCTTACTGATACTGTCAGGAAAATTGAGCGTGTTATTGCAGTGGCAGATGCTGACATTCTGACATTTGCATTACAAGGAAGAGTTTCAGCTAGCAGCTGAAAACATTTGAACAATGGGCGCTTTTCCCTTCTCTGACTCAGGGTATTCTTACAATGAAGCCAGTTAACAGCAAGAACCAAACCTCAGACCTTCCTGTTCTCTGTGGCTTGGCTTAATGTTTTCACTGATTTTGACAGTTAAGGCCCTGCCAGTGTTCCACCTGTGGTACAGCATTGTGGACTGCATATTTGAATAGATTTCAAAGTACGAAAATAATTTCTTTTGACTGCATTAGAATGGAACAGAATAAACATGCATTAGTATTTTGTTCAGCTAATCATAATTTTCCACATACTTCTTCACCAAGGGTAAGCGTGAACATTGCTGAACTTTTTTATGTTCAATTTGTATTCTAATTTTCAGTTAATTGCATTGTGCCGAATAGTGCTAGCGTGTTGAATCCATTTTGCCTCTACAGCTCCTTCATTATTGGTTCATTACTTTACATTTAGTCAGATTACCCCGTGCAACACAACTAAATTGTTTTGGGAGATTTTCTTCACCAAGCGTATAAATGTAGTAACAGGACCACAATAAATCATTTTATAGAGAATAGCCTTCTCACAGAAAAATGCAAGTTTGAAATACTCTTTTCTTATCTGCTGAAGAACAGTTTCATAGCCACAATATCAAATAGATTGCTCAGATTAGGCTGTTAGTGAGTTAATATAGATTAGTAAAGACAATTGTATTTTATTCTATCAAAATTATAGGGGCAACTTCAACTTCCACTCAATGGAACTGTGCAGACAGATATTTGAAGAAACATCTTAGGTAATTTCACAACAAGGACCTAGAGAACAAGAATATAAGAACTAGGAGCAGCAGTGGGTGATTCAGTACCTCAAACCTGCTCCGTCATTTAATATGATCATGATTGGTCCCATCTTGGCCTCAATTCCACTCTCCTGCCCGCTCTTCAAAACCCTTTAACCCAACACTAATAAAAATGTCTACCTCCTCCTTAAATTTAACGCAATGTTGCAGTATCCATGGTACACTGGGGTAGTAAATTCCACAGATTCACAACCCTTTGAGAGAAGGAATTTCTCCTCAACTCTGTTTTAAATCTGCAATCCCTTATCCTAAAACTATGACATCTCATTCTTGATTGTCCAACAAGAGGAAATATCTGCTGCACGTCTATTTTATAATTCCCTTTAGCATCTATGTACCTCAATTGGATTTCCTTTCATTCTAGACAGTTTAGGCCCAAACTGCTCAATATCTCTCCATAAAACAAACCCCTCATGTCTGAAATAAATTTAGTAAACCTCTGAACTGCCTCCAATGCAAGTGCATCCCTCCTCAAATAAGGGGGACCAAAACTGTGTGCAGGTGTGGTCTCATTAAGGCTTTGTACATTTGCAGTAACATTTCCCTACTTTTCTGTGCTATTCCTTTTGCAATAAATGCCTAAATTTCATTTGTCTTCCTTATTACCTGCTTTAACTGCACACTAGCTGTCAGCAATTCATGCATGTGTACATCCAGATCCCTTTGCACTGAAGCACTCTGAAATTTCTCTCCATTTAGATAATGAGATGCTTTTCTATTCTTCTGACCAAAATGAACAATCTTGCACACATCTACCAACTTTTCACCTATTCCCCTAACCTATCCATATCTGTTTTTAAGTTTCTTATTGCTACATTGCAACTTACTTTCCCACCTATTTTAATGCCATCTGCAAATGTGGCATTCAAGTTATTTGTGTAGATTGTCAATCATTGAGGCTTGAGGACAAAAGCTTGGACCACTAGTTGCATCTTACCAATCAGCAAAAGACCCATTTATCCCAATTCTCTGCTTTCTGTTGGCTGGTCAATCTTCTATCCAAGCTAATGAATTAGCCCTAACCCCATATAATCTTATTTTGTATATTCACCTTTTGTGTGGCACCTTATCATATCCCTTTTGAAAGTCCAGTTACACTACATCTACAGGTTCCCTATTACCCACTTTGCTTGTTATATCTTAGAAGAACTCTAGCAAATTTGTCAAACAGAATTTACCTTCCATAAAATCATGCTGACTCCGGCTTTATGAAAGGTAAACCGTGTTTTACTAATTTGCTAGAGTGCAAAACAATGCAAAAAGAAAGTGATGAATGGGGATGCGGAGGCAAATCCATGATATAACTCGGCAACCAGGATTTTGATCAAAAATGGCAAAGCTGTAACAATATAGTTCTAAGTCAGGGGATGGTGTGTCGCTTGAAGGTATCCACATTTGTCTGTAGCATTTGTTCTTCTAGGCGATAGAGGTTGTGAACTTGGAACTACTTTCAAAGGAACTGTGGTAAGGTGCTGCAGTACATCTTCTAAATGGTACACATTGCTGCTGCTCTCCACCAGTTGTGAAGGGAATGATTGTTCGAGATGATGGATGGGGTGTTGATCCAGCAAGCTGCTCTATCCAAAATGGTGTCAACTTTCATGGAGCCGCATTCAGGCAAGTAGAGAGTAATTTACCACACTTCTGACTTGTGCTTTGTAGAAGATGAACATTTGGCAAGTTAGGAAGTGTGCTATTCACTGCGAAATTCTCAGCCCCTGACGTGCTCTTATGACCACAGTACTTTTATGGCTGGTCCAATTAGCTTTCTGGCCAATGGTGATCCCCTGATGATAGGGTATTAAACGATGACAATGCCATTGAATATCATGAGGAGTTGGTTAGATTCACTCTTGTTGGAGATGATCATTGACTGGCACTATTCTGATATGAATATTGCTTGCCATTTATCAGCCCAAGCTTAAATGGTGTTCATGTTTTCCTTAATATGCTTAGGGTACTGCTACAGTATCAGAGAAATTGGAAATGGTACTGAGCTCTATGTAATCAACAGTCACATCCTTACCTCTGAACTGATGATGGAGGGAACTTCACAGATGAAGCAGCTGAAATGATTGGGACACTACCTTGAAGAACTCCTGCTCTGGTGTCCTAGGCCAACCACCACAATCATCTTCCTATGTTCTTGGTATGACTCTAATCAGTGAGCCTTTTTTTCTGCCCAATTCCCATTGACTCTAATTTTCCTTAGGCTCCTTCATACCACATGTAGTCAAAAGTTGCCTTGATGTCATGGGTGGATGCCCTCACCTGTCCATGCCTTGGAGGAGGTGACAGCATAATAGTAATATCACTAGATTAGAAATAAAAAATCCAAGGTTAATGTTTTAGGGGCATGATTTTGAATTACACCATGGCAGATGACACAATTTGAATTCACGGAAGATTTGGTAAGAAAAGCTAGCCTAATGGTGACCATTTAATCACTGTTGATTGTCATAAAAAGATCTGGTTTACCAACGTCCCTTAGGTAAGGAAATTCATCCTTACCTGGCCTGACCTACATGTGACTCCAAACGCATAGCAATGTGTTTGACTGTTAACTGCCCTTTGGGCAAGAAAGCAACATTCTCATCACATGAACAAAAGAAAAAACTCATCTCTGGAATTCAGCTCTTTAATCTATTTTTGGACCAAAGCTGTAAATAGGTCTGGAGCTGAGTGGTCCTGACAGAATCCAAACTAAGCGTCAATGGCTAGGTTATTATTGAGTAAGTGCTATTTGTTAAGCATTGTAAATGACACCTTTCACCACTTTGCTGATGATTGAGGGTAGACTAATAG